AGTGCCAAAGGACACCTCCAGTTACGCTGCAGGTTCATTTTAGAACTGCCTATGTGCTCAAAACTTTCAAACGTCGTTTTCTCAAAATGACTTTTTTGGCTAGTGAGGCTGCTTATTCCAGCCATATCTCTGGAACCACTCATTGGATTTCCATAAGTCTTTTTTTATTATGTACATGAATAAATTTCTGAGGGGGTGACAAGCCCATTTTTTCAATATATTGTGTGTGTTCTTTATTATATTTAATCAAAATTTGATTGATAATATCCTAATCACGAACACAAAGTTTGATGGTCTGCTAATACTTTTCAGCAAGGAAATTCAAAAAAAGGGCTCTGTTACCCCCTGGAGTACCAATCTGGAAATCATCATAGTTAATTTCACAGTTCCAGCACCTTTTGAAAGTTCTCCAGGCCTGGAATAAGAGAACCATGTGCACTACCCTGATATTCTGCTGTAACTTGAAAACCAGTGAACATAACTTGATGAAATTTTGTAGTTCTTCTAATGCTTTTGCTATAAGTCTATCCTGAAAATTTCATTAAGATATCTCAATAAACAAAAAAGTTGGTATCTGATGGTAGCCTCCCCCCTTAAAGGGAGATGCTACTCGAAAAACGATTTTCTTTTATTAATAAGAGTCTGAATTTAACACAAATTGGCATGCTAATAGAGTTTTTTCTCCTCTTTTCAAATATGTCATTTATTTTCATGTAGATTGCTTGGTTTTCTTTCTGCAGGTCAGATGCTGCAAAATTATGGCCATTGTTATGCAACAATTCTGACCTATAAAAATTTGAGATAAAGCATACAGATATAGCTGACTATGATCCTTTGGAACTGTAGAGTGCAAAAATCTATATAAATTTTGTGTGTAAAAAGGTGAAATACAATAATAAAATAGAAAAATTTACTATGGCTCTAGTTGCCAAGGGCTTTCAATGTTATGTTATTTTTGAAAAACATAATCAAGCAGCACTGACAATCTGAATAGATACTTGCACTCTATGGGCCTTCATCATACTATGTGTAAAATTTCATAGAGGTATGACAATTCTAAGTATACGAACTAGCGTGTATAAGAAGCACAGATCACACAAAATTGCAAAAGGAGAAAAACGCATTTGAAAGTTTGAAACCTTTTTTTTTTATCACAGAGTTGTTAGAAATGCATAATCTTTGGCCATAATATTCAGCAGAACTTTGAAAAGCACTGCAAGTTGCTAGAACTGTCCTGCAGCATAGGTTGTGCCCTCACGGTCCTTGCGAGCACTCTCTTCTAGCCGTGGCCTTTTCACTCCACGACGACGGTGGGCCCTTGCTTCTGCTGTCAGACGCTCGGACATTCTCTTGATGCGCCTCGCATCGCGGGAATCACTGAAACTAACTATATCTCTAGATGGCAGTATGTTGAGCTCTTCCAGGATGTGCTCGAAAGTAGCATGACCCTTGTTGAACCACAGGATTGCCATAGCTGCGGTGGTCTCGACAACCGTTCGGGAGACAAACTTAGTCTTGGGGCAATGTAGCCAAATTTTGCTGTTCAGGGATTCCGATGCGTTCTGGGTTTTCCCTTTGATGCATCGAGCAAGGAGCTTCTCATCCGTTAGCCGCTTATAAATGGGCAAAACAGCCAATCCCTGTGCTTTTGTCAGGAGAGGTGTGTGGCGTGGTGCAGGTTCACCAAGTGCTTCAGCGCGTTGATGTTTGCACCACGACTCTGTTCCTGCAGGGCAAAACTTGTGGCTGCCAGCATTGTCAGTAGAGCATGAGTGGAAGTACGAAGCCCATACTGCAGTGTACATATCCCGTACACTCCCCCTGTTGCTTGTTATGGCAATCTGATAGTATGTTTGGAGCTTCTGAATGGCTGGCTCTTTCATTTTCTGCCCTTGTGGTAATGGCACATGCAGCTTCCGTAGCGCGGTGCCAAGTCTCTTGGCCACATGATTAGTGCAGTCTTCTTTTTCTATATTGACAGCACCATAGACTTTTGACTCTGCAACTGCACTATATGCTTTGCTGTCACCGTCACTCAAGAATGTCATGAAATGCAGTGGGGTGTCATAAGTCAATGTTCTCTGCCAAATGCGCATTGCAGCCTCCGTTTCCATGGCATGGGAGGAACAGTCTGCATTTTTTTCACAGACTGGGCCATGGAATGCCTGCCACACTTCCTCGTCTGGGCGCATATCCTTGTGCCTACTACATGTCAGGCAGTAATTTGATATGACCTCGAAGTCTAAGCAGACGCCAGTATCTAAGGAGATAACTGCGCCAATCCCGTTGTGGCTTTTGTGGCCCCTCTTCTGCCAAGTGCCGTCGAACATAACAGCCACATCAGTTTCGCCTGCTACTTCTTTCGTCAACTCTCTGGATCGGCGCAAGTTTTCACTCACAGCTGCCATGGCAGCAGTGTGCACCTTCTTTGCTATAGAAAAAAATCCTCGGTGGTGCATTGGCTTTGGGAGTCCAATAATGGAGCAAAATCTCGACAATTGCTCATGCCCAATGCCGACAGCGCGTGCAGCCACCACTGCCTTCACATTTACAGCGAAACTATCTCGGGAGCTCCCACTGTCGTACCGTTGGCTCACTCGGCTGCTGCCGTCCGCCGTAACACGCAGTGACGTATAGGAGCACGAAAGAACAGTCGCTGAGCATTCGCTGTTTTCGCAATGAAGTTCGAGAAGCGACGAAAGTCCCTTGCGCTTTTCTGCCGGCTCACGAACGGCAAGTTTTTGAATACCGCAAGCAGGGCATGCCGCACCTGCCACAAGTGCCGTCAGCAAGAGGGTGTCGCACAAAACTGTCGTTGCACAAACCTCATCGCGCTGTCTTTCGTCTTTTTCGAAGAAGCCGAGCTTCTTTTCCGAAGCACTGATGAAAGAAAGCGCAGCGTCAATCCCTTCATCGCAGCCACTGTCGCTCGCGCACTCGTCGATGCCGCCGTCAGGCCTAGCACACGTAGGCGCGTTTTCGTTCGTCGCCGTCGTTCGGGGCGCTTTACGCCGCCTTCCCTTGAACTTGTGCTTCGTTCGAAAGTTCTGCGGTCTCACGTTGCACTTTTTCGGGCTTGTCATCGCGGAAATATGCGTAGACGCGCAGAAAAGCAGACGGACCAAATGCCGATGGCCGCCACCAACACAGCTGACAATGACTCGGTAGCCAATGGCGATGCGACTTAGGGTGCCGCGCGTTTCAGACCACTTGAACCACGTGATAAAAAGGCCTCTTTTTTTTTTTTTTGCCCACGTACGAAACTGGCGGTCGTCGGAGCTGTAAGAAGAAGGCCGGACGCAACTTTCCCAACCGATCGCGATGGCGGGCGGCACTGCGACGGGGAGCAGCGCGCAGTCAAAGATGGCCAATATCGGCGCAAATTCACGAAATTTTGAGCCACCGCGATGCCTTCATACACATCTTTTTGCATTTTGCGGTTCGAATTTAGTTTTGAAATTTTCACAGATGAAAGAAGAAGATTTGAAGATTACAATGCAATAAAAATCAGAAATACGGGAAATTTCGCTAAAAACGCAATTTTTCGACTCGCATCTCCCCTTAAAGCGAGCAGGTACTGGCTAACTAACTTTATGAAGAGGAAAGGCTTTTCCCTCCGTAGGGGAACATGCATATGCGAAAAGTTTTGCGGAGGAGTACGATGAAAAGCTTCACAGTTTTCAGAGGTTCGTACTAAACTTGCGGCGCAATAACGGCTACCTGCTTGGGCAAATCGGGAATGCCGATCAGACGCCTCTTTACTTCGACATGCCTGGCACAACAACCGTCGAGAAGAAGGGGGCGAAGCAAGTTCGCCTGCCGACATCGGTCCACGGTAAAACTACAGTGACGGCAATGCCCTGTTACACGTCAGATGGGCACAAGCTTCGCCCGTACCTCATATTTAAATGGAAGACGCTCCCGAAAGGAGTCGTTCTTTCGAGTGGTGTGATCGTGCGGGCCAGCGAGAAAAATGGGTGCGCGTTGCAATCGATGTCTTACGTTTTTTTTTTTTTCCGCGGTGGAAATCGGGTGCGCCTTACAATCGAGGGCGCGGTAGAATCGAGTATAATACGGTACGTGCACGATCGTACTGAAAGGCCTCGTATTCGGAGAAAAAAGACGGAGAAGAGATGCTCAAGGTCGCTAGGCGCTCATGACGTTTTTTTCTATTCTCGTGCCATCTTTCCCTACTTAGCTTCCAGATCTTTTGACAGGTCGAGAATGGAGAATGCAAATGCAGCACGCGACAAATTTTTGGAACTCCACTCGTACTGGACCGATTCTACAAACTTTGCGGCGGTAAATTTATGAGGCGACAAGCATGTTTACTGGCTCCATGGATGCTTGAAAAAGTGTTGCAGGGACCCTTTAAAGGAACATGTTACCCTAAAATCAATCCATTTTATTAAGCTTGTTATGATGGTTTATATGATTTAAGTACAATAAATTTTAAAACGTTACGTATCTTACAGGTTATCACTCGGATCCTACCGGAACTACTAAGCAAGGTTGTTTCGACTTCCTTTCAACGAAAAAAAGAAAGGCATTTGCATAGAGCCCCTATTTCAATTCAAAAGAAATATCGTGCAGGTTAGTTAGGTTATGATAAATATTCCCTTTTTTTTATATGTCATATATACTATTCGAATTTGATTCGAAATTATTTGACCAAAATCACTATTCGCTTCGAATTCGCTTTGACCCTGATATTCACTATTCGCACAAGCCTACAATCAACAAGTGCCTATTATATCAATACATTCTCATTCTCTTGTTGCAAATCACGTACTGGCTTTACTTCACAGTGGACACCGTAGCACAAGAGAAGAAAGATTGCTGCTATAAGATGAGCCATATCAAAACTATCCTGGAATGCCTACTGCAACGACAGTTTCACAATGACAGTTGTAAAGTGTCCACTACAAGTGCATAAGGCAACATGCACATCACTCTGCAGCACTCGTCAAGATTGGCAGAATATGACGTGTTACACTCACCGCAGCCAGCATTGATGCATTGGCGCCAGTGACTCTGATTTGCTGCGCAGGGCTTGCTGGATGTGCAGGTGATCCGCCACTCGAAGCCACCGTTGCGACGGTCATGACTGGTCCACGGGTGACAGTCACATTCGGAGAACGAGAGGCTGCAGACGTCGGTGCAGTAACTGTGGTGGGTATCGTCTTGATGTTAGGGGACCCAGGAGTCTGGCCCGGTGGCTTCAAGGGAGGCATCCGTACGCAGACGCCAACAGACCTCTGCGCATCGTGACAGTTGGGTCACCACTATGCTTGCACACATTAAAAAAAAAACATGCAAATATTGTCACGTGGTCATGGCAGTGAGATGGAAGCAGTCAGTCTGTTAAACAAAACACTCTGCTGGCTGAACACGCGCCCAAGAAATGAAAATCCAAAGTACAAACGTCAAACCGTACACTCAGAGTGGCAACCCCAGTCGTCGGCAAACGCTAATCTGATCATCAGCATCAACATTTATACACAGCATCAAAGATTCCAGCATTGCACTGGAGGCCGGGTTACCTACAGAATTAACTCCAGTGTTCACTTTGTGAGCGTAACACAAAGAGTCTAATGGCGTATTCCGTTGGGCATTTATGAGCGCTCTCAAAAGTTGTTGCGCGTTCAGTCGGTTAAAATTCGAGAGCTCTGAGTACCTTCAGCACCCGCGCATTTCTCTATATGCCCACCCTACTTACCACCATCATCATCACCTGGTATATGCTTATCGTGCAGGTTTTCACATCAAGCTTCGCCCGTTGTCTTTGGTTCCGTCGGGCAGCTTTACAACGGCGCCTGCGTGCTCGTTACACGACTGTTTTCCAGCCTTTTGGTTTGTGATTGAACGTTCAAGATGAGCCCCCGAAGCAACACAAAAGGAATGGTACGACGGCGAAAAATGTGACGCGAGTGACCTACGAGATGAAGCCGCAAATGATTACCTGGGCTTGCTTCGCTTGAACAGTCACACAGTGTGACGACAAAGCGTGCACGTGAGCTCAGCTGATGACCTATAAGATCCACTTCATTAGTCGTGATAAGGAAACTGCGACGAGAGTGAAGACGACGTTGAAACAGCGCACGCGAACCAGCGTGAAGAATAGGTATTTAACACCGACACTTAGCAGTGAGGAAGAAGGATGTGCACGCTTACGAGCTTGTCTTTCAGCTGTCGAGCTGCCTACATCAGGATCGATCGCGTTCTTGATCAAATAAACGTGCACTGGTTCTGTAATATGTCGTGTTTGTTTTTCTGCTCTTATTGGAGCATAACGTGGTCATGAATGTATACATGGCACAGGTAGGCGATTCACGCGGTTGCATTGACAATTTTTTCGCAAATGCTAAATACTATCGCTACGACTTTTCAAAATAACAAATAATTTGTTGCTGTTCCTCGAGATTCCTTGTATCGAGATTTCACTGTACTTCATTGGGTATATATAAAGATACAGTGAAAGCTCGTTAATTCGAACTTCAATAATTGGAATTTATGGATAATTCGAACTGTAAGTTGTGGTCCGGCCAAGCTCCATAGAAGCCTATGAATAAAAAAGCCCGTTAATTCGAACGCGAGTAGGTTCCGCCGCGGATAATTCGAACTACACGCCACCGCGCCGGAGGCTTGGCTAGTCACTCGATAGGGCGGCTGCCGAGTTACGAGGCGGCGTTTACAGGGAGCGGAGAAAAAACAGAGAAACTGGCACGAAGGCCAGAGTGCAGAAAATAGCACCACTTACTCTTCACCCCCCTCCCCCCCACAATCTCTTTCTCTCGGAGGCTGCCTACTGTCCTTCCTACGTAACCTCCAAGATTTTTTTTTTTTTTTTTTTTTAAGCACCGATTTCGGAGCCTTCGAATATCCTGCGTAGTTGTTGCTGTTAGACGACGGAAGGCATGACCAACACACAGAAAATCGGGTGCGTCGTAGCTTCGCACAGCCTTCTCTGCAGTCTCTGTCTCGGCCGTGCGTCGTACACCTCGGTTGTTAGTGCTGGAAGTAGCTTCCGACTGTCGCGATTCTTTGTGTTGGTGTTAGGCTTCGGCTAACGTTTGTTGCGGTAGCGCTAGAAGTAGCTTCCCGTCTGTCGCGATTCTGCTGCTCCAACTTGATGGCGTGTGTTCGCGGCAAATACTGTGCCAAAACACTTCTTTCCAGCAAACACGACAGCAGTACTGCAGCCCATGGACCAGGGTATAATTAGAAATTTCAAATCATTTTATCGGCGTCATATGTTGAAACGAATTATTTTGTGCAATAACTACCAAGTGACCCTCCTAAGTGCACTACACATGCTTGTGCGTGCTTGGGAGCAAGTGACAGCGCTTACAATAGCAAACTGCTTTCGCCACTGTGGCTTCAGCACCAAAGCTCTGCAAGCGGACGAGCCACCAGCGCTCAAACACGGCGTCACCGCGTCGATGGCGGACGTTTTGGAAGACTCTGCTTTGCGAACTACGTCGATGTGGACTCAAGTGCAGTGGTGTGTGGTGCACTCACGGATGGCGACATAATATGTCAGGTGAGTAATGCAGAACCTGTCGCTGCCAGTGACGATGATGAGGAGGAGGACGAAGCACCAGTGCGGCCGTCTGCTGCGGAAGTCATGGCCAGATTGAATGCCGCTTGTCTTTTCTTAGGTTTTGAAAAAGGCGGAGAAGAGGCCTTCCGCCAAATTCACTCGTTAGAGCAAAAAGTGCTGGCTGCCCCCTTCAAGAAAAGAAGGCAGACCCCGATCAGATTTTTTCAAAAATAAATTGTTATGCCCTATTTGCAGTGTACTATTGTTGTTCTTCACCTTCATTAGTTCGAACTTTCGTTGATTCAAACCTAGGCGGCTTCCCCTTGCAGTTCGAATTAAAGAGCTTTTACTGTATACCAAATGAAGTGAAAGAAGGGACGATTGCCACCATAGCTCAGATGGCTGAGCACAGGGCACGTAATTCAAGTTGTGCCCGTTCGGTCCCTTCCAGCGGGAAGTAATCTCATCACCCAATATACTTTCTTCAATTTTATATCGCACTTACTATACAAGCAACATATGCTACGCTTTTATAGGCCTCATTGTCAGTTATATTCTGTTTCACACATCAAATACAATGCTATGAAAGTTAGCGAGAAACCTTGCTGTAGGTGCGTTTGCATAAAGAAACACACTCGGAACTTCGATATAACGAACCTGAATAAAACAAGATATTGGTTATAAGGAAGTAAATAAAGATTGCTCTTGCAGCAGATAATGATAAGAATACACACTTATAACAAATTTTCGGATATAACACACCCTTCTTCACGTAAGAAACAACTTTGTTTTAATGAGGTTTGAGTATAGTTCCATGTTCTTACCCTCTCGAATATTTTCCGTTCTGTTTGAGGCACAGATTCTGCACCTTACAGATAAACAAGCCCCTTTACATGGTTGTCATTATACGGCATGGGACACTTAGTCTTTGTTTGTTTACATTCATTGGTTTTTTTGTTTTGCAGGCCCTGGCGGCACGTCACACAAAGGCAACTGTTTGGCTTGTGCGAGCGTTTACAACGATTAAAACTAACTGTGATACAGGCGTAGTGCACATTTTGCCGACTAAATTTTTTTGCATAGCATTTGCAGCGTTGCAACTGATGTGTGAAACGAGGTATAATTTACAATAATATTGTCTCTTAAAAGGGAAGAAAAGTCCTTAGAGGGACACTAAAGAGGAACAACGACTTGGCTTAGATTGATAAACTGCACTCTGAGGACTCTAATGCCTTAAGTGTTACTCCCGCAGTTCCTTATAAGCAGAGAAAATCAAGGTTGAAGTTTAATTTTTGAATTTCGCGCCGAAATCTTCACGTGCGACGTCACCGATTTCAAAATGATTTTTCAGTATTTTCTCGACATTGCCTTAATAAAGTTTCCTGAAACTTCGCATGCTAAGCCTATGGCACCCACAGATTGCAATGTACTGTTTTGTAGAGACCTTCAAAATTTCTTACATCATGGTGCTTGATGCGGGTATCTCATTGTGGCGTCGCCACTCACATTTTCTTTTCGCATGTTTTCTCACTCACTAAGCATCGTGTTGCGGGAAGTGTGGTGTTTTTGGGATGGCGAAATTGTGCTTTACTACAGTCAAACCTCAATATATCGAACACGGATATATCGAATTATTGCCTATAACGAACGGTTCCTATATCACGCGGGAAATCGCATGCATTATTGATTTTTTATTTCGAACAAAGTTTTACATATAATGGTTATATCGAACTCAGCCACCCCAAACCGCCCGCGCTCCATTGACAGGCGGCGAGCTTTCCCGCAACTCTCGAAAGTAGCGGTAGAGCGGCGGGCGTTTACGAATGCTGCACACATCGGTGGCGCCGAGAGCGCCACTTTAACGTAGCGGCGAACGCGCGCCGCAGCCTTGCGGTAGAGGTTCTTGAATGAGGAAAGTGAAGAGAAAAGCGCGGAGTTGTTATTGTCTTTCAATACGAAGGCACCGACACGGCTTCGCGCGGGGCAAGGGGGAGTGGGAGGTAAAGATTGAGGAGGAAAGTATAGGAGAAAAGGACGCAGACGACCGCCTCGGACGCGGCCCGCGCTGCCGCCGGGAAAGAGAAAGCAGTCAGGCGAGCCGGCATGGGCGCGCCATGTGCGCGCTTTACACCCGGACTCACGCCGCAGCCTTACAGCTTGCAGTCGTTGCCGTCTCTATGGTGTCAACGGCACACTGCGCACTTGTTGCAAGCTCCTCCCCCGTAGCATCGGCAGGCATCGGTCGTCGTGCGTGCAGTGTTCGTGCGTTCGGAGTTAGGCCTGTCGCTTAACTCCGAACGGCGGAGCTCACAACGGCGGAGCTCACGGATGTGGAGATTGTCGCCGAAGCTACTGCTGAGCAGCCAAATGAAGACTCTGCAGAGGTGGATCCCGCAAGCGCTGATGGTGCCCTGCTCCCGACATCAGCTGAGGTCGTAGCTGCCTTGGCCCTTGTGCGCCACCACTGTGGTGCGATTGAAGGCACCGGCCTATCACTTATGGATTGCCTGGACTATATTGAGGACGCAGTCGTCAAACACGCCATGGCCAACAAAAAGAAGGCTACTCTTTTTCAATATTTTAAACCAACACAATAAATACTATGTTTGAATCTTCAAGTGAGTATTTACTGCACCACGCTTGAACGATTCGTTGGTTGTTTTCAGCAAGCTGTTGACGCATTTTTTTCATAATTTTTTTATATCGAATTCTGGATATATCGAACTATTTCGCGATCGCCGCGCCGTTCGATATATCGAGGTTCGACTGTAATACCCTAAAAATGATGTTGCTCTTTATCATCCCTTTATTATTAACCCTTCTTTCCTTTCTGTCAATTGATGGGAAATGCATTGAATTGCATGCATGCAGTTCCGGCTCAGAACGGTGCACGAGTTCATTACAATCTCAAAAAAAAAAAAAAAAGAAAGGAAACGAAGCAAAAGAATAATTTTCGGCATTAGAAATGACCATTGGACCAGGGCCGGCAAAAGACACCACTTACCCGAGTGCGGCGGGCGTTGGCACACTTCTCTTGCTCGCACACAAACTCGTTCAGCTGTTTCTGCAGCTGGGACGACCTTCGCCGCCACCGCTCCAGGGCTCGGTGCAAAGTGTCGCACTTCTTCTCCATTGGCTGCAGCAGGGTAGCGGCCTGCGTCATGAGACACTCGCGCACTCGCCGCGTCACGTACTGCTCCAGCTGTTTGCGACTCAACACCACCAGACTGGAACCGACGGGCAAGCCCACAGACTGCGCAGACGCCGACGCTCCAGTTGACAGAGCTTCCGGAAGATCAGCACCGTCTTCCTGCTCCAACGCATTGCCTAAAAATAAGAGAGCACAATAAACTATTCGCAGCATATTACTTATTGATTCTTTAATGTGCTCAGCACTGCAGCCCAACTGCAGCAGGTTGCACTACACAATGTACAGAACAGTCAGGGACAGCTCATATTTACAGAGGAGCAAAGGTGATGGAAGCAGAGCTTTTGCACAATTATGTGTGCAGCAGCTTGCGGCTGATTTCAGTTTAGTTCGCTCACATCGTTGGAGCATATATAAAATTATACATACAAATAGTTCGTGAATGGGAGAAGCATTGCTATTGTTCCGCATACATTTTAGTGCTGAAGCTCGCCATTATTGTGCCGAAGAATGCACGCTACTCCAACGTCTGCAACTTCAACCCTCAAACCCGCTTGCTCTGCTGAAATCCATCCAGCACCTACTCCTTGTTTTTCAGCACTGTCGAAAGCTCAACACAAAGGAATGCCGAATACCTGCGCGATGCTCAATTTTGTTCGGCCTCCTTTCTCCACTTTCTTAATAAGGGCAGCCTTTTTTTTTTTTTTTCTAGCGTTAGCGACTTACACTGCTTTGACGTGATGCCACACTCCCGCTAAGTTGTAACTCCTGACAGCCAGTGGAAAATCCGTACCGCTCGGTTTACGCAGTTGTACGGAAATCATGTGCACTGCACAAAGCGAACGAGACAAAATACGCCAAGCATGGGCAGAGGGCCTCCCTGCTCAGCGTACGTGTCACCTGCATGCCACAGGGTTGCTTGACAAAGTTGATATGTCGCTGGGCTGAGACTTCGCGTTTGCAGGAAGCATCAACGTAGTGGCAGGCGTGGCTAAATAAGAAAAAAAAATCAACCGACGTCAAGTGTGGCAGAATCGCGCGAATCTTGTGAAACAGTCCGGCGGCGGAATTTTCATTCCATTTCCAGTAAAGATTTCGAGCTATCCACAATCTTACCCAAATATACTTCGAGTTAAAAGGAAAAATATACATGGGACATATAGGAAAATATTCGGTGCCTCGAAAAATTTCGACTTGGCCGATTTTTCTAGATGTCCGAGTTCGAGTTAACGACGTATTGCTGAACATACATGTATGGGACATGACTGCAATGGCAAAGATCCTCCAAGAGTGCCCATATGATTGCTGTTGCAATAACAACTATGATCGCACAGAAATCACAGTTACAAAGCAACAACGATTACCGTATTTACTCAATTCTACCGCGCCCTCGATTGTAACGCGCGCACGGTTTCCACGACAAAAAAAAAAAAAAAAAAAAAAAAAAACTAAGACATCGGTTGCAACGCGCACCCTTTTTTCTCGTTGGCCCGCTTGATCACACCACTCGGGAAAACGACTCTTTTTGAGAGCGTCTTCCATTTAAATATGAAGTACGGGGGAAGCTTATGCCTATCTGACGTGCAACGAAGCATTGCTGTCACTCTAGTTTTACCGTGGCCCGATGTCAGTACACGAACTTGCTTCGCCCCCTTCTCCTCGACGGTTGTGGTGCCAGGCATGTCAAAGTAAAGAGGCGTCTGATCGGCATTCCCGATTTGCCCAAGCAGGTAGCCGTTGTTGTGCCGCAAAATTAGGAGGAACCTCTGAAGACTCTGAAGCTTTTCTTCGTACTCCTCTGGCAACTTCCGTCAACTTCCGGCATATGCCCGTTCGCCTTCGCAGGGAAAAGCCTTTCCTCTTCATAAAGTTCGTTAGCCAGCACTTGCTCACTTTAAAATGGCTCTGCATTAGCCCTTTTTCTAAGGCTAACTGCATAGCCTGCACTTGGAGCAGTTCTGTCGTCACGGGCCGCTGTGCCGCTCACTGCTTAATCACATACTCGCCGAGCAGCGCTTCAATTTGTGGAAACCGATCCTGCTGTGGTCCACTGAATTCTTTGCGTGAATCTTTGCTGTCGACAATATTTTGCTTTTGTTTCCGCCAGTCCCGCACGCACGTTTCGGGAACTCCGAATCACCGCGATGCAGTCCGATTTCTGTCCGTTCCGGCACACGCGATGACTTTTCTTTTAGAAAAGCATTGTGGTGCACTCGTCCAGTTTTTGGAGTCTGCCCTACCATGCCGTCGATGCTAATGTACTACAAGATGACGAACTCTTCAGCACACGTATGAAGGGCCGCACATGGAAAACACATAAACAGAAATGACCGACGCGCCATGCGGGCGCACGTAGGGGGCGGCCATTTCGTAAGTGGCGATGGCAATAGAATGACCATATTCATTTTTTTTTTTCGTGCTCGATTCTAACGCGCATGCGATATATGAACTCTCTTAACCGGAAAAAAGGTGCGTGTTAGATTCAAGTAATTACGGTAAGCAGATTAGTGCTTTGGGTTTTACAAGTATGCTTGTTTAGCTTTGCAAGCTTCCCCCTAAGCTTTCTCTGGGTCAGCATTCACCTTTGTTTGCAGCAAGCGCCATCATCTATCTAGCAGGCTTCACTGTCGGCTTATCGTGCTTGCGCTATCGAAAGAAGAACTGACTGTGGCCAGGACTGCTTGAGTGTACAGCCGTGGCCTCATTTGTGTAAAGCACGCGAGCAGCCGTTTCTTGCTCTGCGGAGCTATGACGTGGCCAGCCTGACAACAAGGCTGCGCATGCTTCCAATACGCCACTTCAAAGCCCAAGACTGCCTCAAGGTTTTGCACCACAGAGCAAAAGCCAGATGATTGCGCACTCTACACAAATGTGGCCGCAGCTGTACATGGGTGGTTAACCACCCCGCAAGCTCGCATTGGATGACCCCAGGATGTCCCAGTCAAACATAGAAGTGTTTGAGCTCAGGTGTGGCCCTGAAATGGTAACAGACATGCAAATTGAATGCACATGTGCTGAATTTAATTTTCCGCAAAGCCTTTTCGAAATGGATAATTATTTCTGTGCAATAAAAAACACAATTCCACGAGCTTAAGTGAAACCCGGACTCATTAGACAGACTAATCGCGAGATATGAGCTAGTTGGCCAATTCCGATACCTGTAGCACCACAAAGACATGGTGACAAGTTACTGTACCGACACTGTCACCTAGATTGGTCTAAGACTGTCTGAGTGTATCCATAAAAAACAAAGCACAATCACAAAATATACAGGCAGACAAAGCAGCATGCTAAAACAAGTCACACAGATTCAAAAGTCTCACTTTCACTTTCATGCTCGCATAGTCATCATAAGCTAAACATTTCTCTCCGTATAAACACATACATACAGTGATTCTCGATTCTTTCCTTCCAAGGACATACCAGGTGAGCAATCGTATGCCAAGCTCCAAAAGACTGTTAACACAGAAAATTCTCGTGCAGCACATATGTGCATCATAAATAGACATTAAGGAAAAACAGTGACTAGGTTTAAGTTCAAAAACTGCACCCTAATAACTCTAACAATTTATGTTTCACCATCATGAGTTCATTATTAGAGGAGAAAATCAAGGTTCAAGTTTCACTTTTATATTCCGTGCCAAAACCTCTGTGCGTGACGTCAAAAATTTTAAAGTGTGTTTTTCATATTTTCGCGACATTGGCTCAATGAAATCTTCTGAAACTTCATGTGCTAGGTCACTAGTGCCGACAGATTACAATGTACTTGATTTTTATCAATTGTAAATTACGTAGGTCCTTGCAGACACCTTCGAAGTCTATGAAGCCAGTGTTTGGAGTGGGATTCTCAAGGTCGCGTATCCACCCACATTTGCTTTTTGCACGTTTTCTCGTTTACCAAGCATCTTGTCGTCACAACAGTGGTGTCTTCGGGATTGTAAAACAGTACTTCACTAATTCGTGAAAAATTGTTTTGTTCTTTAGTGTTCCTTTATTTAGGCAACGACATCTTCTGCATTCTCTTAATTTTTCTCCAAGTATGATGCTTGAAGCAGCTGTCCTAGGCCAACACTATGCCAAGATAATCAAGAAAAGAAAAACAAAGCACACTAAGCATCGAAAAAAAAAAAAAAAGAGATTTTGGAAAATTGAAAAGAATGCAACAGCCCACCCACCTTCATCCTGCATGTCGAGCTTAAATCGCTTTGAATTTCCACCTTCTGCATCAATCATGTTCAGGGCCCGTTTGAGATCAGCCAGGATGTCTTGACTGGACGCTGATCGCTTCTGCGGCTTAGAATCCATGTTGTCTGCATTGACCTCAATGGCATCAGGGTCGTCAGGATCCTCATCCTTGAAGCACGAGACCGACGCCGCAATACCTGGACAAAGGTTATAATGTATCAACGTATACCCCACTGTAGGCAATGCTGGAATAACTGTTCTAACAGCCTTGCAAAAGGCTAATATGATGTTCAATATAGACAAGTCTCTTTATCAAAATTAATTCTGCTGAATTCTTCGATAAACCTCCTGTAAACACGCGATGAATAGCATTGGAGAGATTGTGTCTTCCTGCCTTACACCCTTTTTTTTTGGGGGGGATCCTGTTGCTTGCTTTGTGGAGAACTATAGTGGCTGTGGATTCACTGTATATTTTTTCCAGTATGTTTAAGTAGGGCTTTGTCGATACCCTGATTCCTTAGTGCCAGCATCACTGCTGATGTCTCAATTGAGTCAAACACCTTCTCTCAATAGCTTAAATATAACATCACACCTGCCAAGCTCAAGGATTTTGAATCCGGGAGCTTTCCGCAACGGGGGGAGGGGCCGAATTATTTCTTTTTTTTTTTTCCGGCATTAAAAAACCCATGGACAAATAAACAAACAAAAAAATCAAGAAAAAAAACAAGAGGGTGTGTGGAGGGGGGGGTCTCACAAGTGGCAACATCAGCGTTGCGGTCTTATAGTGGCTTGGAGTGGCCGAACACATGAGGGTAGGGTTTCCCGCTAAAGTGAGAGTCTTACAGAAACAACTAGCAAAATCTGCTTCCTTCAAAACAACTCGCGTATGTCTTTCTGGGACACCCGTGAATGGACAGGACGGCGCAGCTGGCTGCCGCAAAAGAGCGGGTCAAAGCTTTGCTCACTACTAGATTCTTTTGACAGGAACGCCAAAACGCGTCTGGCCCCTTTTTAATGGGATAGCAATTATATGGACACGCTAGGCTGGTTTTATGCCGTCACTGCCACCACCGTGATTCACCGTATATGTATACGTATCTATATACCTATATAGGAACACCCAAGAAAGAAAAAAAAAATCGCCCGCGCTCGGATCGCGATGCGCAGCCGCGCGCTTATCTCTCACGCGCACTTTGCCCCGCGGATGGATGGGTGGGTGGCGGGGTTAGATGTTTGTGCGCGCGCGCTTATCCTTTGGTGGGGATAACCATGTGCCTTCGGCTTTCATTGGAACGATTGCGTTAGTTGCTAGGCCTACAAAGGTGACTTCGGTTTCTGCTCAGGCCCCGTTTGCGAAATGAGTGCGCTTTTCATACACATGAATTCAAACCAACTAGCCCAAATAGCTGTTCTTTTTCATACACAGCAAGGTATAAGTGGGACACTTATTAGTTTGTACTCATCCGTACCTTTGATTATGTAGCGTGCATCGTTTTCGTGCGTCATTTGTGCAGGAGCAGTGCGCTGCATATTTCGATCTGCTTGCCGTCCTCAGAGTGACATTCCAAGTTGTTGCTGTCGCATTCATTGCTTCGCCCTTGCGGCGAAACCGACTTTTTTTACGTATTTACTGCCTTTATTCTGCCTCTGCGTGCCCTCGGAGCTCGTAGATCGCTACCACGTCGCCGCAACCGCGGTTTTGTGCGCTGCGGTTCCGGAAAACGGTAATTCCTTTTAATATCCCCGTGCGCACGCGCTGTATAAGACAGAGCGTGCGCAGGTCGCAAGCGTACTTCCACAGCTTCGAGTACGCTGCCCTCTGCCTTCGTTCGACGGTTTCTGTACTAAAGTTCGTATCACCCGCCGCGATTAGGAAATTTGTTCGGAACATTCGAATTTAGGCTCAATAGACATATGGTAGAATTCGGCTGGGGAATTTCATGAACTCATATCTGCGGCGGTTTCACATCACTGAGATTCTACTGTACGTTTAGATGAATGCCTCTTAAACTCACTCACAAGAAAATGGGGTAAGCTTGAAAAGCCTCAAGCGGATTAAGCTGCTTTTTTGTCAATGCGGTCAGATCACGCACAGAAATTTTGATATCCGGGAGATTTTCATGACAACTGTACAAACGGAAGAAACGGTCCAAATCCGGGAAGTCTCCCGGCCAATCCGGGAGACTTGGCAGGTATGTACCACGCACTTTGTTCCCAGCTGGACAGCTAATTAGCCAGAAAATGCCAGGCTTGCGCGGAAGGCACAGCACAGCCACAACAAAAGCTAGAAGAGTGGCTTTTCAGAGCCTTTTAACACACTCATTGGGAAACTAGTGCAAGCACACTTGCTTGATACCCACTAGGGCACTTTTTGGTTAGTAAGCCGGCATTCGCTATGCTATTTTTCCTCATTCCTCTGAGAAGCACGGTAACCACTAAACACTTGCAAGGAATTCTGTGCCAATTGTTCACGCAGTGGCTGACGATGATGAGGAATTACGGCTGAAGTAGGTATGCGCCACAGTTAATAGGGGAACAAGAACAAGCTTCTGCGAGGGGCCGGAGCATTGGACGACCCACTTGTTACGCTATTCGCATTGTGCGACGACTGGTTGTTCTTTCGCCGTTTTAAAACGCTTTATAAGGGTATTAACGCGATTGCTTTCCTGACATCAAGCCTGACTAAGGCAAGTTTGCCAACAAGTCATAAGCACCGGTGTGGCTCAGTGGCAGAATGCTAGGCTGGCGCCACTGTGTCATTGGTGCTAGGGTTTTTTTTTTTTTTCTAATTTTCCACGATGTGTTTATGGACACCGGCGGCGGACAACTGGGCGTGACCCGAGTTGTGATCTCACAACAGCTTTTGCTGTAAAAGCTTGCAAGTGAGAAGCACCTCCATTGAAATACAAAGTGCACAATGATAGCAAGATGAGAATAGCAAGTCAGCACATATATGTGCAGAATTAACTATAAAGTGCGGCACACTTCAACCTCATTGTAACAGTTGCATCTTGCATGAAAGTAAGCTTGTTATATCAGAAAATTCATGAAAAAGATATATTCCTGACACTATCTATTGCAAGACAATTTTCCATTTATTTCATTATAACCAATATTTTGTTATATCTGGGTTTGTTATATTGAGGTTTGAGTGTATTACTGTACTGTCTTTAAATTAAAGGGAATGCAACAGATGCCCCACCTAAAAAAAATGGTGATATACGTTTTTTTTTTAATATTACTGCTTAAAGTCTGTTTTGTGTTTTTGTAAGCAATTCCTACAGTAGTCCTGTACTAGGCTGCAGTACTTGAAAACAAAGAAATAAATGTTATGACCAATATACAGTGGACTCTCGATAATTCAAACATTGATAAGTTATACTTTCGGTTCATTCAAACAAAATGCAATTTTTTGGTTGGCCCCCTATTCTTTCAATGTATTTACAAGCCTCTTAATTCAAATTCCATCAATGGTTAATTCGTACTTTTTGCAGGTTCACACCAGAAAATATCTGCTGCTTTCCCACTACTTTTTAAAAATTTGTGTGCTCTAATCCTAACAGTCTAAAAATGAAAAATAAGCACCCGAGGCCTTCAAGGAGAAAAGCTTTGCAAGTAAACAAATATTTGAATCTAAGTGCACGCATGGTAAACTGTGATGCTTCTCAACTGGTATAGAGAGCGTTGTGCTGAAAGCACATACCTATAGCAATGAAGCAGTTCATAATTCACGATTTCTTTATAAGGTCTGATCACCAGTAAATGGCCAATAAATTGTGAATTTTACACCTCTGCTTTCTGGTTACTGCGTGCAGTTAGGGATTAAAGACACATTAAAAAAAGTTAAATGTTATAAAATTAACGCCTAATTATAATGTGTGGTGTCACCTCACCCAGAGTCATCCGACAACTTCTGATAATTCAAACTAAATTCAGAGGTCCCTCCGAGTTTGAATTAATGAGAGTCGATTATATTCCATCATGGGTGCGGTTCTAGGTGTTATAGAATATTTAGACGACCAAGAATGTGTAAAAGCCTTCCACACAACTTTTGGTTCGAATGTTATGCCTAGTATAGGTGACATCATAAAGTATTGGGCGCTGTTTGTTGCATAAGGGGATATTTAGACTACAAAGAACATGCAAACACCTTCCACACAGTGCTGGGTTCCAGTGTTAACACTGATATCTGTCTTGTCATTAGGTTACAGTTGTGCTCGATAACTTCAATAGAAGCACTTGCGATGCCACAACTGCTTGCACCGTGAATTCTTTATCTGCAATATTGTGTTGCGGTGCAGACACTACACAATGAATCTTGGTCGGATACAGTACAAACTTGTAGATTTTTATCTCACTATTGGCGAAAACATTTCTGAATGTTTTCTAGCACTCACCCGCACCGTTAGAGACTGGCGTCTTGTTCTCCTTAGTGGCAGAATCAGGCATTTTATTCCCCTTGATGACTTCTTGTTTCCCAAACTCTGTGTGAAATATTCAGCCAGGGTTGCAAAGGCATCAGATGCTTATGGAATAAACTTATGTATTTAGCTACTTCATCAATCAGTGGCATCACATGCAATTCTTCATGAGGCTCAAAACAATGTACATCACAAGTAAATCCCGTAACGGGTAAGGAACATGGGCACTACATCTCGCTTCGCAAGAATATGCGTAAGATGATCGCATAGCATTGGCTCTGCTGCCTGGAACTCATGAAACAGAGTGCAGACGTTGTAATAAACTTTGATCCCTCTGTCGTCAAGAGGCCACAACCATACAGAATTCCACCAGCCAAAACATGCAAAGGGAAGTTACGAAGACCTTACCTGGCTTCTCAATAGCAACGACTTGCACATCATCACTGCTGTCAAGGGATTTCCCTCCCTCTGCCGATCCATCGGCTCCTTGGGCAGAGGGCTCTTCCATTTCTTCATCCTTCGGCACTTCTTCCGGCATTTCATCTGCACACTTCTCCAGTTCCTCGCTCTTCCCAGGCTCTTCATCCTTAATCTCCACAATGCTTTCCTGCTTTTCTTCAGATTCTGCCTCCTTCACATCAGCTTTCTTTGCTTCATCTTTGTCATTACAGAAGACTGTAGAAGCATTGGCATCATCACCATCTTTTCCACACTTATCATCTTCTCTAGACGACTCCTCAATGTCCTGTTTCGGTGTAGAAGTTCGAACCGGTCCCTCATTGTCCTCGACCTCTGGCAGTGGGTCTGCTGACCTGCACATTTAAAACCACACCAATTAGATACAATAAAAACCACAGAAAAAAAAAACACCAACTTTGCTTTTGAATAGCTGAAGATGCTAAAATAATTGCTAAATTAAAGGAACTGTCAGCAAAAGAAAATTTTATTAAATAGTAAAGAGAGAATATAGAAGCAGTTTTCATCAGAAGGCTAAGGATCAATGCATCAGTACACTTTCACTTATCCTTTCCGAGAGAGAGATTCTTTTCTGAGTTGAGAATATTTTTTCATAGTCACACATGTATCGTCGCGCATGAGCACTGTTCTTGTACTCTGTATAAAAGCAATCGTAGCACCTTCGATAAATTCAGTTGACAGTCAGCACTCTTTCCTGTCCTTTTTGTCTCTTGCTACAGTTGCCACGCTGTTACTACAACACAACCACAATGAACCAACTAGCCCAAATTAAGCTCTCGCATTAAAAAGGTGCCCCCCTCCCGCCAAAAATTTCTGCCTACGCCCCTGGCCATTATATTTCAGTGATGCCGTGAGCATGAGACCAAGTTTCACATCAAACTGAAGCTTCATTGCTTCCTGTCAAAGTGTGCGAGCTGTGCCTGGGGAGTGCTTTCTGAGCACACCTTCACGTAGGAACAATGGATTAAGTCTGCTTACAAGCGAGTCCCTCTGGTGCTCAGTAAGAAAGAGTGTTAAAGTAAGTTCAGCCTCCAAAGATAATGCACACAGTGTCCAAACAGCTTGCTCCCACGGTCAATTTCTCTTAAGTTGATCTATCCACCCCTTTCTAAGCAGAGGCTTTTACAGATGACATTCAGTCTTTCTTGAAAATAAGGTTAAATAAGCAAGCTGCAATTACTTGTGAACCAGATAAAACTCACTCTTTGCCGAATATTCAACGCTTGATTGATTTGATTGATGTGTGGGGTTTAACTTCCCGAAACCACCATACGATTATGAGAGCCGTCGTAGTGGAGGGCTCCGGAATTTTCGACCACCCAAATCTGAGCACACGGGCCTACAACATTTCTGCCTCCATCAGAAATGCAGCTGCCGCAGCCGGGATTCGATCCCGCAAATTGCGGGTCAGCAGCCGGGTACCTTAGCCGCTAGACCACTGCGATGCGGCTAATGTCCAAGGCTGGCTAACGACACATTTCTTAGATATTCGAATACGTCCAAGCCTATCTTCGCCAGCTTAGTAGGTGTGTTGGTGTCCCTGAGAAATTCTTTTTCTCAGACAGCAGGCATATGGACAGGCCAGGGGCATTCTTGCCGTCACCATCATGCTTTCTCTTAAAGGGGCTAGAAAGCAAAGACGACTGGAAGCCCAATTTTTCTATTTTCAAGGCACAATACTCCAGCGTTACTGACAAGTGCTTTTAGAAAGAGGCGAGTTTTTACGCACAGTGGAAAGCATTTGCAAATGGTCCCAAACACGCCTGATACCATGACTGCACCGCGGCAACTAGACCTCTAAACGGCATTTTCTCCCAACACTACTTTTCATCACGAAAGGAATATTTTCCCTGTAACCACTGAAGCTAACAAATGCAAACTTTTGTGACTTCTTTCTTAATACCATGCCCCCTTACTTTAGCAAAAGAATGTTGTTGCCATTGGAATAGTATTTTCACAAAAGTTTCTCTGTAAAAAAAAAAAGGCCTAAAATTCTAGTAATGAAACATTTAAATTTTAAAACAAAGAATAGCCAGGTCTACTATTATTTTTTCGGTTCAGATGGATACCCTGGGCACGTGTAATAACCAGAAAAGATTTCACCATTCTACATGCAAAATTTTTGTACCATATGTTTCTTCAAAAGTCAAATCATTCTCTTTATTGTATTTTTAATGGCTTTGTATTCTCTTGGCAACTTCACAAAACATACAGTAAAATCCCCATTTATTTTGTGAATGTTTGCTTTAAAGGTAACCGAGCGATGGGCAGTGGTAGTTGCACACCTGTCTGTGCTGTCCATTCCCCCTTTGTTCGAAATCGATAACATCATCCCGTGGGGTCGCGTGTTTAAGTGCGAGTGGAAGCTCGGGAACAGCCGTCGAACTCCCTAGTCCTAGCAGATTAAACGAGCCGGCCGCCAGCATCGCAGGAATCGCGCAAGGAGATGGGAGCAGGCGGAATAGGTTGGGCGGGAGGGGGGGGGGGGGTGCAGTTGGCAGATAATGCGTGCTGCGCCGATCACCAGACGCGGTTGCTGGTTGTCGCGCTTATCTCGATAAGGGATCATCAGACGGATCATAGCCTTTTACGTGCCGTTCCTTCATGTCCGATAGGGAGTTTTAGAATAGCGCACCGCGAGCCCTTGCGGTGCGGTCGCTGCCACAGCGCACGCGTCGTACGCGAGCCGCCGTTCACGTTCGTGGCCCGCACGCAAAAAACCGAAATAGCGCGCGGCCCGCAAAGTGCTGTGAGTAGCTTCCGTGCATTTGGGCTTGCGGTCGGGGCGAAAGTCCCCAAGACTTTTTTCCCTAGGGGCAGCAAAAGCTATTCTAAAACTCATATGGCGCCCGCTATGCCCGCAACCCCTGCAAACGTTATTCTAAAACTCCCTAATATTGAGTTGAAGCCATATAAGATACGAAGTTCCCTAGGCTCGTTGTAGCGGCCACGTACCGATTTTTGCGGCGTCTGCCGCCAAATCGGTCACCGCGGACCAATAGGAGTGCTAGTCAAGGAATTTTGAAAAATGGCGGCCAAGCCCTACTCACTCGTTATGCTGCAGTGCACGTAACTGAATGTTGAAACCAACGGGAGTTTAACCTACTCTGTGCCTACTTCGCGTCCGTATTTCGTGGAAGAGGTGACCGAGCTTGCTGTTGGCGTGACCGAGCTTGTTGCGGTCTTGCAGAACAAAACGAACCCGCCAACGCCGCTGGCGTCGGTGGTTTTTTTTGTTCTTCGTGCATTACAAGACAGCCACGTGCCAGCAAAGCAAGCAGTACTGTCTTTTCTTGCTTCTTGCGTACGAGAATCGTCGAAGTATACAGCACCGGATAGCGTAGTAGCGCTTGCGAGCCGCGACAACAACCGGGTGACAGCGCATCCATCCCGCGTAATGGAGCGTTGTAGCCTTCATCACATTCAAATTTTTGCTATCGGTCGCTTCATTGCGTCGCCCTTGTCGCAATACTGACTTACTTAACTATTCTTGACAGCAGCAAACGCGGAATAACATAGTGTCACTCATGAAGAAATGCAGCCACTGTTCACCTTTTGTTGCCGAACACAATTGTCGCCAACCAATTTCCCATACTTGCAGCTCTGGAGAAACTTCAACTGAAAATGCTTCACGGAGGGCACAGCGCATGCGCGCGGGAATCCGAAGAAAGTAACATAACATTCGGCATCTCCAGTGCTAAACGGTGATATTTTCCGCTTTCACGTTGTATGCGAGTCAGCTTGCAACTCAACATGCCCGACGAAGTATTTAAGCCAAAGCAGCCGTTGAGCAATGAGCTCGAATTCGCGCCGAACGGGTGCCGCCATCTTGACATGCTTCGCGCGCTCGTACTTCCGCTACTCGCTCACTGGATTCCGTGGGCTGAACGGTTGTGCCGTTCGAATTGACACCTATGGGCCTGCCGTCCGCGTTATCCTGACGCTGTGTAGCTCTCGCCGAGCGGTGCCCCGTCCTCGGACACTTTTTGAATGAATGAATCAACGGACACTTTTTGAATGAACGTGAGCAAGGTTCTGTTTGGCGTTGCATAAGTTGTTGCCAGACTGCCGCCAGGTTTGGCGAAGAAGTTTGCTCCTGTAGTTGTGGCTTCCTCGTGAGGGTTTGGTGTCGTCCGCGGTGCATTTGGCGAGTGCATGAGCGACGCTGGCCGTTTTAGTTTCCGGAATGAACCGCGCCTTGCAGACGTTGGGACGCGTTCTCTTGCTGTGTGCGCAAGCTGTGCAATTAAGAGATCGCGTCGCAGTATTAGGGACGGCGGGGAAAACTGAATAGAGTCGCCGCAGATGGTGCGCTGCCCCCCCTAGCTAGGGGAAGCGTAGCGTCCCCGCCGTGGCGTGGCGCGGTCGACGCGGCACGATTAGCTCAAGAGAACGCGCCCAGACTTCTGCAAAGGCGCGGTTTATTCCGTTAATTAAAGCGCCCAGCGCCGCTCATGCCCTCGCGAACAAGTTCGTCGCATGCGCGCACTCGCGAAATTAAAGGCGGACGACGGGTTCGTTGCTTCCTCAAGTCACAACACGATCACTTAATTGCACAGCAGCACACACACAGCAAGAGAACGCGTGCCAACGTCAACAAGGCGCAGTTTATTTCGTTAATTAAAACGGCCAGCGTCCCTTGCCGATGCACTCGCGAAATGCACCGCGGACGACACCAAACCCTCACGGAGAAGCCACAACTACAGGGGCATATTTCTGCGCCGAATTTGGCGGCAGTCTGGCTACAACTACCTCTAAATCTGGCAACTGATTTATGCAACGCCAAACAGAACCTTAGAATGTGTGCGGTTCAAGGAAAAGAGAAAGGCACTCTTTTGCAGTCCGGCACAGCTCAACACGGCTCGGCGCCGTGTCCCCCATCTTTCCTATCTCTCCTCTTATCTTTCGACTATTCTTTTAGATGCGGAGCATCTTATACTCGCGCCTTGTAGTGCGCCGTCCGCACCGCTTCTCGAACATTCGACAGCTGACGCGCGCGCTTCACTCCTCCACCATCTGTGCACCCTTCCTCCTCTACACACCGCGTTCGACATCTACAATTCTCCTGATTCTCCAGTGGACGCGCATGTGGCGTCGCGCTTCGAGAACATTCAACAGCTGACAGTGCATGCGCCGTCGTGCTGTATATATACTCAAGGTCGGCGCTCGCTCGCTCAGTTGCCGCTCGTCGGTTGGTTTGTACGGCGCGTCGACGTCCAAGGTCGCGGTGAAATGAATTCCAACGAATCCACAAACACAATGATCGACGTCCCTTCGACCAGCGCCGCCCTTTCGCATACGTGTGTACGTGTTCACTCATTTAACACCCCCTCCTACAACCACGTTAACCAATTTAGCCATCGACCCAAGTAAGTCGCAATTTAACACCCCATTTCACAACCACGTTAACCAATTTAGCCATCGACCCAAGTAAGTCGCACTTTAACACCCCGTTAACCAATTATATGGTCCGCATCCTCCTCAGTGTTCCCCCGAGGGAAGCTGCGGGCAATTTTTTAACCCCTTCTCCCAACCCTTACAAGGAGCTGGGCCATGTCGCCAGATTAGGCTTCCATAAATTAGCTTTCTTTTTATTCTCAAGAATCGCGCAATCATTCATTCACTTCTGTTCCCACCCCCCTCGATGCTGCGCACATGCAGACGGGACCTGCTCGCTTGCAGTCTGGCTTTGAAGACTTCGCCGATCCGCTGCTTCTTCGTTGGTTAACTTCACGACCGTAAACATCGGCAAACCAAGTCTCAGTCTTACTAAAAACCAGACTCGCGCAGCCACGTACAGAAAGCAGAAGCACAGAAAGCAGGCGCTCATCAAAATTAGTCTCAGACGAGACAAGTGATCGAGCCTGGCAGATTAAAGGTAAACACGTAGCGCAATCCGGTACCGCTTTGGTAACTACACAAAGCAAATATCCGTGTCGTCGCGTCATGCACTCCATGGGGACGCAAATGCCGCGCGCGTTTCAGAGCGCCAGCCTTGCTCCTGCAGCGCTCGTTTCCGCAGCTAGCCGGCCTCGCGCAACCGCCGTTCTTACCGCAGCACCCAGAAGCATCGCTTTTGACGCTGGCAGCTGTCATTCGGAGGAAACACTCACTGGGACGCGAGCTCGCACCAGTGTCAACACCACTTGTATAAGAGCGACAACCAACAAAGCCGTTTCCCCCCCCCCCCCCCCCCCGACTTGTAATTCCCTAACAACTCCCCAACTTTTCCCGGTGGCTAGGAATTCCCCGACTTTTCCCCGTTTTCCCCGAGTTCACAAGACGCCCTGCCCTGCTCCGTTTTTGAGAAATAAGTGTTCTTCACCTTCGCACCTCGAAACGGGCTTGTGAGCCTAAACTTTACTGGATTGGAATCGCATGGTATTCCAGATAGTGAATTTATTTTTCGTTTATTTTCCCCTGGAAACGGATCTAATGAAGGACACAATGTTGCATATTAAGTAAAGTACAATTTCACAATCCCCAAAACACCACTCTTACCACGACACAACCTTGACAAGCAAGAAAAGAAACTGCAGGTGGAGGTGCCACCGTGAGGTTCCTGCACTAAACGCCACGACGTAGAAGATTTTGAAGATGTCTGTCTGCTGGGTGCTACAGATAAAAATTAGGTGCAAACACTGGAACTTTTAAAAGGGCATGGAGTTGCTATAGAAGAAAGGCAAGCGAATGCAAATTACTGATACTTTTAATTTTCATTGCATTAACTATGTCACGTAAATAAATGTCTTTTGGGGCGTAAATAGCATTATATATTGCTTTTGAGCATAAATAGCATTATGTCAGTGCTTGTTTTTTTAGACATCAGGCTGACTGATCAATTTAATTCTGTTCGGTGTTACAGGTTCAAGTACTTAATTTACAAGATCACCTGCCACAAATGTGTAGTAGTGCCACATTCGCAATAACCTACTCAAGAGGTGGCTTTTTTCAGTGCTGCCCACACAGTGTCTTGTGGTTGCCGTTCATTCTAGTGCCCACGCACTAATTTAAGCTCCGCCTATTTTCCAGTGCCCTTTGAGTTCGAGTAAATGAGCCTTTAATGAACTTCGAAATTCTGTGATACAGCTGAAATCATTCCCAAGGTTGTAGTGAGAGTTTTCCAGGCATTTAGGTGTTTGAAATGCTATTTTCTGCGTTGTATTGACAAAAGCTTTCATCAGAACTCCCTTCATTAGATGAAGGAACTTAACTTTCCTCTTCATTACTTTCTATAGAACCCTGACTATCAGTCCCCCTAGTGCGAGAACACCGCCAGCTCTAAACATTTTTTCACATTTCTCCGGCTCTACAAGCGTCTTTACCCCCCCCCCCCCCCTCATCCATCACTCACTGCGCTCGAGGCTCGAACTCTACGGCACATCCAAATGAATTGCCTGATAACCCCCTCTCGCCTTTTCCTTTATAAATATAGGTCTAACCCCTGCTGTCCCAATTGCCCCTTCCCATACACTGACCTGTCACACTGTCTGTTTTACTGCCCAAGTGCTCAGCAATCCAGCTATTACCCTCCCCCATCCCTTTCCATCACCTCCTGGCTCGACTGGATCGGCGCTGAAGGGGAACAAAAACAGTGTCGACTGGTCGCACAGGCGGTCGAAATGCTCAGCCTATAAATTGTGGCTGAATAAAAGTCTATTACTACTACTCGTTTTTTCTTTGTATGGTGAGGCCACATCTAGAGAAATCAACGAGAAAACTGTTTTAAACACTAAGGCCACTACCAAAGATGATGGGAGGAGCATTCCACAAACAAAAAAAGTACACAGATTAAAATGTAGTGGTGGACATCTCCTATCAGCAGACTGGTTGAGCCGCTTCCTAAGAGCGCACCACAGAGGATTGAAATGTTATCCACCCCAAATGGCCATGAGTAAAGCAAGCCAATTGCAGGGCTACACCTAGTGCACATACTACACAGGAAGGCTATGATCAGTGGTGGCACTTCTATAATGCAGAACATAAGGGTTTGGGCTCTGGATCTATCTTAATATCCAGTTCTGTTTTATATTTGTGCTAAGATTTCGAGATATTAAGGTACATTCAATCCATAGTATATAAGATACATGAATACCAAAGGAGGTCCAAGTGTCGCGAGACTTCCTACAAGACCATGCAACAACGAGCCGTGTTTTGTAAAAAAAATGAGTAATATAAAATGTTCCAGTATATAGGACATAAAAATATATACAGAAGCAGTTAAGGTGAATATTGTAAAGTATTCATAAGTTTAACAAGTGTGAACACAAAGTTTTTAAATATTCTACAGGATGTCCTTACACCCAAGGGCAAAGAATTCTGAAAAGTAAAACCTACAGCAATATCGCTGTAATTATTCCCGTGTTCTGCTAACAGAAAGTTACTCTATTTCACAAAACAAGTTGACAATAAACATGAAAACTGTTTCGTATTCTGCAACAGAATGATTGAGAACGTCACTTCATTTCACTCATTAAGCTCTCCATGGCTTCACCACAAGTAAGGGATACTCACGCCTCGTCGAGAACGAGTAAGTCATCGTCGCAAGGAAAGTTGATGCCCTTGCCCTCCGCTTCTTCCTCTTCCGGCGTCTCTTGCAGCAGATGGTCAACAGAGTCAGCTGGCAACGACTCTCGGTCGGGCACAACCGGCTGCTCAACTTTAACACCACTACTGTCCATGCTGGATGGCTAGGCCGTTGCACCCATGGCCACTGTCATCTGCTCAAAAACATTTAAAAAAAAATCATCAAAGGACTGTTGCAAGAAACACCCACAGAAGATTCGTAACCTTTTCAGATGTTATGTACAAACTTGTGTACACCACTTGTTTTCGTTGCTTATATCAAGTAGGGGCTAAAAAAAGCAATGTACACCGAGCATAGGATGACATGAGCTTCATGCAGAAAAAAATGTGTTTTCAGTAAACTTCATTTGGCCGTGTGGTATTGCATGCGATCAATTCGCTGAAGCCCCTACCATGTTCAAGGAGTCATTTGAAGCATTGTTTCTCACAAAACACATCGAAAGTATAATCTTTCTTGGTTCCCAGTGAACATGAGCAAAAATGAACCTACATTACATTTCCAGCCTAAAATTTTATTCTCCTAATGCAAATACAGAGCATGAATGACTTAAGAATAAATAGGTATTTGACTGTAACCTAAAAGTAATTACAATAACTTGTGAAACGGGTCGTTGAACAAGCAGGAGTTGACTCGGCGAAGGAGAGCTTTATTTAGCGCAAGGGCTAACTGAACGCAAGCCTGCGATCACAGCAAGTCTTCCTCCTTTTCTATCCTCGAGCTCCATGCCCACTGCCCTCGTTACAATCACCCCCGGCCGATCAGGGAGCCATCCTGGCGACCTAAGGACAGGTGTACACAGAAGGGTCATGGTATGGCTTGAGCCGAGAGATGTGTACGATTTCTTTTCCCCGACGGCGCTTGTCCGGAGATGCATCCAGCGGCTCGACAGGGCAGTTGACAGGGGATATTTGGCGTACAACTCGATAAGGGCCATGGTACCTGGACGAAAGCTTGTGGGAGAGTCCTGGAGTAGTAGAAGGAATCCATAACCACACCAGTGAGTTCGGAGCAAAGCTCATATGCGTGGTTGACGCGTAGTGGCGATGTTTTTGGCGCGTCTGGTCATGCGACGTGAACGCACGAGCAAGCTTCCGACATTCTTCAGCGTGTGCTGCTGCTCGAGAAACGGTAGTCATCTCTGAAGGGTCCGGTCGATAAGGAAGAATGGTATCCATTGTTGATGATGGCTCGCGTCCATAAAGAAGGAAGAAAGGCGAAAATCCAGTGGTGCTTTGCGTTGCAGTGTTGTAAGCATATGTCACAAAAGGGGGTATGCTATCCCAATTTGACTGGTCGGATGAAGCGTACTTGGCCAGCATATCCCCAAGTGTACGATTAAAACGCTCTGTCATCCCATTAGTTTGCGGGTGATAGGCTGTGGTAGTGCGGTGTATGATGCGACACTCGCTCAACAACGCTTTGATGGCATCGGAGAGAAAAACGCGGCCACGGTCGCTTAGTAACTCCCGAGGTGCTCCATGCCTTAAAACCAGGTTTTGCAGTATAAAACACACGTCTTTTGCAGTAGCAGAAGGTAACGCAGCTGTTTCAGCGTACCGCGTTAGGTGGTCGATAGCGACAATGACCCAGCGGTTGCTACTCGAAGTATAGGGAAGCGGACCGTAAAGGTCGATTCCGACACGATCGAAAGCTCGTGCTGGACATGACAACGGCTGCAAGAGACCTGTGGCATGTTGAGTGGGCATTTTGCGTCGTTGGCACGTAAGGCAAGACCTTACGTAACGGCGAACGAAACGGTACATACCGCGCCAGTAGTACCGCAGCTGCAAGCGGGTGTATGGTTTCAACACACCAGCGTGGCCACATTGCGGATCATCGTGGAACCTGGCACAGATGTCAGAGCGCAGATGTCGTTGGATGACGAGCAACCACTTACGGCCGATCGAGCTGTAGTTTCGGCGGTAAAGCAGGTTATCCCGAATAGCGAAGTGTCCTGCTTGACGGCGAAGCGTCCTGGAAACTGGAGCGGGCGTCCAGTTTGAGAGAAAGTCCAAAAGAGAAGAAATCCAAGCATCTTTGCGTTGCTCGGAAGGCATGTCCGAAATGCTGATGGCCAAGGCAGCACTAGTGGAGATAGGCGAGCCGACAGGCTCTGAAGCCAATGGTGAACGTGACAGGGCATCGGCGTCGGAATGCTACAACACGGTAGATAACAGAACGGTAGATAACACGGATATCGAACTCCTGTAACCGCAATGCCCAAGGAGCGAGCCGACCATTAGGATCTTTTAGTGAAGATAACCAGCAAAGCGCATGGTGGTCTGTTACAATATCAAACAGACGTCCATATAAATAAGGCCGAAATTTTCCGATTGCCCAAATAATGGCGAGGCACTCCTTTTCAGTTACACTGTAATTCTTCTCGGCTTTACTGAGGGTGCGGCTGGCATAGGCAACGACGTACTCGTCAAAGCCCTCCTTGCGTTGGGCCAGTATGGCCCCTAGCCCGACACCACTAGCGTCCGTATGAAGCTCCGTTGGAGCAGATGGATCGAAATGTCGGAGTATGGGAGGCGTGGTGAGGAGCCGTTGGAGTTCCTGAAATGCATCATCACACGCCTGCGATCACGCTGACAAATCAGAACTTCCGGCAAGAAGATTGGTCAAGGGGGCGATAATGGAGGCGAAATTGCGGACGTAGCGCCGAAAGTAAGAACATAGGCCGATGAAGCTTCGAAGCTCTTTGATGGTGGTTGGCTTTGGGAACGCCACGACTGCATTAAGTTTCGTAGGGTCCGGGAGAATGCCGTCCTTAGAAACCACATGGCCGAGAATTACAAGCTTGCGAGCGCGGAAGTGGCATTTCTTCAAGTTAAGTTGAAGTCTCGCCGTGGAAAGGCACGTAGGAACTTGCTCGAGGCGGCTGAGGTGGGTCGCAAAGTCGCTTGAAAATACCACAATGTCATCCAAATAACAGAGGCACGTTTTCCATTTCAGACCTCGCAAGACGGTATCCATCATCCTTTCGAAAGTGGCAGGCGCATTGCAGAGGCCAAAGGGCATAACGGTGAATTCATAAAGTCCATCCGGTGTTACAAAGGCTGTCTTCAGGCGGTCACCCTCTGTCATGGGCACCTGCCAGTAGCCGGAGCGTAAATCTAACGAAGAAAAGAACTCTGCTCTTTGTAGGCAGTCCAAAGCATCATCGATGCGCGGCAGAGGGTATACGTCTTTGCGCGTTATCTTGTTGAGTCGGCGGTAGTCAACGCAGAACCGGATGGATCCGTCTTTTTCTTGACAAGAACAACCGGTGAAGCTCAGGGACTGTTGGAGGGCTCGATGATGCCACGTTTCAACATGTCGTCCACTTGTTCGTCGATGACAGGGCGTTCAGTAGATGACACACGGTACGGACGCTGCCTTAGTGGGGCTTGTTGACCGGTGTCAATACGGTGAACGACCGCAGAGGTTCGGCTTAAGCCTGACTGGTCACGATCGAATGAAGAACGAAAGCGGAGAAGAAGATTTATAATTTCTTCGCGCTGAGTTGGTGCGAACTCAGAGTCGATGGCATCCGAGAATACGTCCAGAGCATCATTAGGCGCGTTGGTAGGAGTGACAGCACAAATTGGGAGCGAAACCGTAGAATCGGGTATAGTAGCCGGAAGAATGCACTCGTAAGGTTCGTAGCTTCCCAGGCATTCTCCAAGTAGTAGGGATGACGGGCTGTCCGAGGGATTGCACACATAAATGGCAGCGTGACCATTGCGAAAAATGACGACGGCAAACGGAAGCATGATATTTCGACGGCACGCAGATGGGACCGATGGCATAAACAACACAGGCGATTTCGGAGGGGAGGCACATGACACTGAGACAACAACAGCTGAGAAAGGCGCAGTGTCAACGTCAGAAGCAGCAAACACTCTACACGAAGCACCATCGTCGGGGTCATAGCACGGCACAGATAACGCGAGTTCAGAACGAGCACAGCAGAATTTGACGAAAGAAAGTCCCACCCAAGGATAACGTCATGCGAAGAACGGAATAAAACTACAAATGTGACGACGTACATCGCACCTTGAATGACGACTCGTGCAGTGCACAAAGCTGAAGGCTGAATATGATGGGACGTAGCTGTCTGCAAAGATAGGTCGGTAAGTTGTGTGGTCACTTTCTTCAAGTTTCGGCACAGTTTCTCGCTAATTACAGATATGGCAGCTCCAGTGTCAACAAGTCCGTGCACCTTAATGCCATCAATATAGAGTTTGATTTCGTTCGGGGGACAGCAGTTAGGTCTTGAAATTTTCGCTGCCAACGCAGTTCTTGCCTCCGGAACTGCGCCCGTCAGTTTTCCCCTCGTGGTGGGCTGTTGCGACGTAACATCGAAGAAATAGATCAACGACGAGGAGAAGGTGAACGGCTTGCGCCGGATGGTCGGCGACCGGGACGTACGCCTAGAGGTGGATCGGCAGGAACGGAATATCGCGGCTGAGTGGGCATGATGGGCATGTAATGTGAGGCCCCTGCAATGTCGTGAGAAGGGAAGCTGCGACGACGGCAGTGACGAGCTACGTGGCCTGGGATGCCACATGAAAAACATATCGGCCGATTATCCGGAGTGCGCCATTGGCTGACGATAGGGGCACTGTTCGCTGAATAAGGTACCGTAAATGGTCGTGCAGGCGGCGGCGTCATATAAACGTTGACCTGTTTCATATACAGCCGGAGACGGGACGGTCACCGAGCGGGAAGGTGGCGTCGACGAATAAACGTGGCGAGTAGCTTCGCAGATGGCCGGAGACGCTGGCGCACGTGGCCGAGCAACTGCGGCTGCATACGTTAGTGGTGCGGTAACAGTTGGTGGAGCCTGAGCTGGCGGCAATGCTTCGGCAACTTGCGATTGAATGACCTGGCGAAGCGAAGGCGACAAGGGTGCAATCGGCTCGGTAGTTCTTGTGATTATTGATAGCTGCCGGGCGACCTCCTCGCGTATGAATTGCTTTATGACTGACATCAACGCAGAGTGGTCGGAGTCGAGGGATGAGATGTCCGCAGTGTCTTGAGCAGCGCAACGTGTAGAAGCGCGCTGCCTACGCAGCTCATCATAGCTTTGGCAGAGCGGAATCACTTCGGCGACCGTCTGGGGACTCTTCGCAGCCAGCATTTGGA